ATTCTAAGGTACATTCAGAGAAATCATTCTTCCATCCCAAATCCAACCTGTTCTCTTCCTTCTCTCATAAACATTTAATTAATTTTTGGCTTATCCTACCAGTGTTTCTTTTCACAAATATAAGCAAATTCACATGCACACACACACCCACACCCATATTCACATTTCTCTCCCTTTTTGCCCCCAAAATAGCATAATACCATTTTATGGTTTGGCACCTTGCTTTTCTCACTTAACAAAATATTCTACAGATTATTCCATATAAGTATATAGAATTCTTCCCCATTCCTTTTTACAGCACACATTTGGAAGCATCTGTGTGGTCCCTTTAAAAATATTATTAAGGAAGTCATTAAAAGTGAGAACTATAACTCTTGGCAGAATTTAGCTAGCTAATTCTAGCTTATCTACAGCAAACGACAGTTTCAGGATCATTTACCCATTCCCCTCACCTCCTACCTCCACTTCTGGCATGTGCTGAGAGTACAGAAACTGACTTTAATAATTAGCCCAGGCAAATTACACGTAGGCTTTGGGCTGGAATAGCAAAAGTAAAACTTAACAATTGGGAGGAAGCAAATAACTTCTCTTTTTGCTGTCTTGGAATCTGGCAACTGGGCAGAAATAATGACTTTATCAATAGGATGATGCTCATATGAACACAATTAAGTAGGCTGAAATCGTAGACTTCCCCTTACCACATCCCCAAAGAGACATGGAGCAAAATTATTCGAGGCCCAAATATAGAACTGTGAGGCTTAAATTTATACCTAGTATACCCTATATTGGAGGTTTGCGACTCAAAACTAGACACGAATCTGTAGGACTAAGCCTTCCATCGAAGTTATTAAATAACTTGGCTATACTAAATACACGACATTGGATCACTGCATAAAATCAATGAAGATAACCCTGTTGGGTCAAGCTTACACAGATCAATATGGCATCTGCTCCCAAACCATGTTCACTGCTACAATCCCAACTTGACATCATTGGGTTCCTCAAGTCAAGGAGGTCTGAGTTACAGAGTTCGAGAACTGGATAACCTTAAACATGATCTTTTATTTTGCCCTTTGCTGCAGATGTTCCTTGGTGACGGGTTGCAGGGGGTTACTTGAATCCATTCATTTAAGATCAATTTCAAAGAAAAAGGTAAATTAGACATGTATGTAACTTTTAGTCTTTCTTTCTGCATAAGCTCCTTTAAAAAATTAGAGTTAATAATTTTAGGCACCCAAATGATATTGCTGGCTATTTATGAAATTGTTTTGCAAAGAGTAACTTTTTCCATGCTCTGAAATCAGTGCTACCTTGCACTTCCAAAAGTTTTATAATTTTTAAAAACTTGATAAAAATAAACATATATGCCCACTGTGTTAAACACAGAAAAGTATACAAAGGAAGGAATAATCAGCCATATTCATACCACTCAGCAATAACTATCCACTGTGAAGAGTTGAGCATATTTTCTTCCAGCATTTTTTCTACATATACATATTTTTTCTTACACTATTGAGTGTAGTTTGTAAATCTTTTAATGGTTTTTGACCAAAAACCATCAAGTCTAAGACTTTATAAATAGAAGATAAGGCTGCACCTTCCAAAAGAAAACACCTAATGATTTGGGGATGTCTTTTTGGCTTCTGGGTAATTAAAAAAATTTCCTACTCATTCTCATCACTTACATTCTTAAGTTATCTTTTCAAACAACAAAGTTTAAAAAGAGAGGCCAGGTGCAACACCTGTAATCCCAGAACTTTGGGAGGCCGAGGTGGGCAGATCACCTGAGGTCAGGAGTTCAAGACCAACCTGGCCAACATAGTGAAACCCTGTCTCTACTAAAAATACAAAAAACTAGCCAGGTGTGGTAGTGCATGCCTGTAATCCCAGGTACTTGTGAGGCTGAGGCGGGAGAATCGCTTGAATCTGGGAGGTGGAGGCTAGAGTGAGCTGAGACAGCACCATTGCACTCCAGCCTGGCTCCAGCGACAAGAGCGAAACTCCATCTCAAAAATAAAATAAAATAAAATAGACAAATAAATAAATAAAAAGACAGAGGGAGAAGGCAACATTTCGCGTTTGGGTCAAGATGGCTAGCAGACTGGCTACCGCAGCACCAGACAGGTAGCTGGATGGTATTTGAAAACGGTATGACAATGCTGCAGGATTTGAGAAACTAGAGTCAACGTGAGATGAGACGATATATGAGGATGAAGATGTAAAGGAAGCCATAAGAGGGCTTTCTAATGGCAGGATGTTTCGCATTAGAACACTGGACCTGACTAAGAGACAGCAGATCTTGCCTTAAGAGCAGCGGACCAAACATGAAGAGAATAAATTCTACCATGAGCCATAACTGAAAGCGCTTACTTGGGAAAGAAAAGAATGAGAAGAATGGTCAGAGAAGCCATCACATATTTGAAGTCTGGATGCAGCTGTCCTCCAAGTATTTTTATGAAGATGGTTAAACCTGAAACATATAATTTCAGAATTATTTGGTCTGCCAATGTTTTACTTTAAATAAATGTCTATTGTAATCATTAAAAAAACAAAAAATATAAAGAGGCGCCAAAACTCTCTTTGACATCTGTTTCAGATTTTCACTGTGACAAAAAATAATGAAATGTCTCATTCATTTCCATATTGCCATAGTCTTACTGAAATTCATAGGCCTTTAAAATCTAAAAAGGGCTCTTTGCCATAATCAGAGATGACACTTCCAAATCACTCATTTAAAAAATGCACTTTTAGAACACTCAAACAAGGATGATGACCTTTCATTGATTCACTGGAATTTTCTCGCCATTGTCCCTAAAGACCAAAGGTGTGCGTTTGCATCAGGCAGCCGGGGCTGTGGCGGTCCTTGTCCAGAGACCAAAGAAAGCAAACTGGACTTGATTGAGATCGATCTAGGACCTCATCAATCCCACATTCTAGACAAAGGTCAGTGTAATTAGACTGCTCTAAGTAAAATGAGCCCGTGAAACCTAGAATAACAGAATGATAAACCATGAGGTGATATTTGTTTTAGGGGGGAAAAAACCTCTTTCCCAGAGAATTCCTTTAAATAACAGGCTCCCTTTTTGTATATTTAGGTTACATTCAAATATATTAAAACACACCTTTCAAGAACTTGCTCCTGAAGATAGTCCTGTCCACATGAACCTCCTGTTTTGCTGGAAAATCTTTTAAATACAGTATTGCTATTTGACACACTTAACACAATAAATACTTATCAAAGTTTAACTTTAATTATAGGGAATGTAATTTGAGGTTACATCAGAGCTACAAGGTAAATTAGCTTCCTATTTCTCAAAGTCTGCTCAAATTGTGTGGAATTTCAAAAAAGTATTTTAAAAGGATGTAAAATATGGAAACATTTATTATTTTTTGAGAGGTGGTCTCACTCTGTCACCCAGGCTCCAGTGCCGTGGGTGAGGCTGCAACCTTCATCTCCGGGGTTCAAGTGATTCTCCTGCCTCAGCCTCTCGAGTAGCTGGGACTACAGGCGCTCACCACTCACGCCCGGCCTATGGAAACATTTAATACGTTCAAAGTAATTGGGAAACACCTGAACCCAGGATATTAAGGTCTCAAGCTCACTATTTACAGAAGCTTTACAAAGCTAAATGGTGAGTTAACAGGTTCATTCTAGGTACAAGATACTTTCTTACTTTTAACAATAAATTACTTCATTATGTTTATTAAATGCAAAGAGATGTGTGTGAGAGCGGGTACAAAATAATAAGACCATGATAGGCTACATTCTATGCATGCCCACTACAAAATGAAAATGCAGAGACCCTTGTTCAAATTCAAGAGTGCGTTAGTCCTTTTAAGTGCGGGCCCTTTCTGACTGCACAGATCGCACGCCTGTGAAGCCAGCCCTGCCCAGAGTCCCTTTTCATTCACCAGGTCCTCCTCCCTCGCGTCACAGTGCTGGGGTGCGGGGATGGATGCTGGCGTTGCTGTCACACTGCCGAGCTTTAGGTCAAACTCTCAGCACCGCGACTAGTTACCCTGAAATCACTAGGGCCTGGTTATTACAAAACAGAATACACTTCTTTCTTTCTTCCCCTTTACTTAAAAGAGATGATAGGCTTTACGAGTTATTTTTAACAGCACCTTTTTACAATGAAAAGAATTCGAGAGTACCGTTTGCAAACTGCAGCAGACAGTTCTGAGCGCCCCAGAAGGCGGCCGGCCCCAGCCTGGGAGCCTGCGGGGACCACTCCCTGCTGCCCTGGAGCATGTCCCCCAGGGACACAGGACACCGTTGCCCCTGGAAACCCTGGGGGACAGGCTCCCTCCTGGCGACCTTTTCTCGTTTCTTTCGCCCCCGCGGAGCCGCACCTCCATGCCTCCCGGGCCGCTAGTCCCCCAAAGCAGGCCCCAGCCCCGGCGCAAGCTGCCTCCTCCGCACTCCCCGCCAGCCGCCAGCCCGGCCACCGCCGGACGGCGCCCTTCTCAGCCCCGCGCCCCGCGCCCCAGCCCTCCTCGCGCGTCCGCGCCCACGTCGCTTGCCCCGGCTGCAAAGTCTTCCAGACGTCCGGGCCCTCCCGGCACAGCGCGGGAACCCCAGCCCCCGGCCCCGCGGGACACGGGCTACAAGGCCGGGCCAGCGAGCCAGGGAACCCGGGGCCTCGAGGCGGCCCACTGCCCCCGCCCCCACCGGCGCCCCCACGCCCCCAGACAGTCCCCGCCGCGCCCTCAGCGCCGCCACCCCCGGGCCGGCCGACGCTCCACGGCGAGTCCCGCCCAGCGCCCAAGAGGCGCCGGCCCCACGGCCTGAGCGTGCGCAGCGCCCCCCGCGGCCGCGCCGAGCGCAGGCGACGGCACAGGGAAGGAGGCCGCGGCGCGCCTGGCTCGGCCCCCTCCCCAGCCCGCCCCCGGGGCCGCTGGCGGTGTCCGCGCCTCCGCGCCCGCCCCTTATTTCCTCCGGGCGGCGGCGGCGGCGGCGGCGGCGGCGCCTCGTGCGCGAGGTTATTTATTTCCGGGCCCCAGAGCGCTTATAATGGAGCCGCTGTCAGCAGAACCTTCTGCTGCTGCCGCTGCCGCCGCCGCCGCCGCCGCCGCCGTCCCTCCTCTTTTTTTTCCCGGCAGATCTTTGTTGTGTGGGAGGGCAGCAGGGATGGACTTGAGCTTGCGGATCCCCTGCTAGAGCAGCCGCGCTCGGAGAAGGCGTCGCAGCCGCGAGGAGGAGCCGCCGCCGCCGCGCCCGAGGCCCCGCCGCCCGCGGCCTCTGTCGGCCCGCGCCCCGCTCGCCCCGTCGCCCTTTGCCTCCCCGCAGAGTCCCCTCGCGGCAGCAGATGTGTGTGGGGTCAGCCCACGGCGGGGACTATGGTGAAATTCCCGGCGCTCACGCACTACTGGCCCCTGATCCGGTTCTTGGTGCCCCTGGGCATCACCAACATAGCCATCGACTTCGGGGAGCAGGTAAGCCCGGCCCCGTGCCCCGCGCCCGCTCGCCCTGCCTTGGCCTTACACGCCCGGACACTGGGGCGGAGGGGATTCACCTGCTCCGAGTCCCTCTTTATCCTGGAACATTTGGTCGGGTGTGCAGCTTGTCAAGGGTGACTTTTCTAGCACCCCATTCCCTCTCTCCGTCCCCTCAATTATTCAGCAGACTTTTCCAGCCCTCTCTGGAAAATGTTAAAGACTGGATGGTGTGAAGCTTCACCTGTGTATGGAAGGGTTTTTAGTGCACGGCAGTATTATGTAATTTGCAATTATGTAAACCTCAGCTGTGTAATTAAAATGTAGTTGCTAGTAGCTTAAGTGCTGGGTTTTTATTTACCCGTGGCTGGTGGTAATGGTGACGGTGGGAAAATTCTGTTTTATAATGCGTCCAAGTTGATTTCCCAGGTACTTCTAATTTTTAAACATCTGTTTCGTAGCCCAGGTAAGGATTAGGGGTATCCCGAATGTGTCCTGATAAGCCGGTCTTGACCATTTCCAGTTTGGGATTTCTTTTTTTTCCTTTTCCTTTTTCTTTCCTTCTTTCTTTCTCTTTTTTTTTTTTTTTCAATGGATCACTGAAGAAGGGAGCACGTTTTTGTTTGGTGTCGCCTTCTCGTCCTTGTTTCTTTTCACGTTTTCTCCATGTGGCGTCATTGCAAATCTAGCGCTGCAGGCTCTCCCGCGATGGGGCATTGGCACCCTGCACCTTGCATGTGGGGACCGTTTTGGCAGGGCCGCCAGCGGGATGCAGCTGCGTCCTAAGGCCAGGGAGAGGATTTGGTGATGGGGAGGCAGTGACGTGCCACCCTGATGGGCAGGTGTCCCAAGTGGCCAGAGCGTGTGACGAGCGGCACTCCCGTATTGTGGTACTGTCTGTCTTCTTTCCTTTTAAGTCAAGAGACTTAAACGGATATTTATATAGAATATGCGTCTATTTTGATGCAATACTCATTGTAAAAGCCAAACAGCTTTCAGGAGGCAATTACAAACCGGAGATTTGTTTGACTCCTTCGTTTGACGAATATCTGTTTGGATTTGTCTCTCTGTGCTCAGAACTTTTGAATAATTGCAACTCTATAAGCTCCCTAATATGTAGCCCACATTGTAAGCTACTTTCTACTTTGAATTTTGTTGATGATAGGTGTTCATAGTATGGCATATTCTCTAGAGACCTTTGTTTACAGAGCCAACCAATGTCCTTTGATAAAATCTTGTCTCTTCTGTTGCCACTGTGCCCTGCCAGTGCCTCACAAGGGTACCCCAAGGGCTTCTCCTTCCCTGCTCCACCCTGTACCTGCCCACCTTCCCTTCTTTCTATAGTAACTGGTGACTTTAAACATTTCCTACAATCTGTAGAAAAGCTTCTAGACACGAATTTACTACATGGCCCATTTTAGATGAGTCAAATGCTGTATATTCACTCGAGCCTTTCCTATTTTAAGGCTTACCTTCTTGAAGCTGTCCCAAAGGTTGTCAGAAAGCCCAGGCCGCTCATCTGAACTGGTGTGTGTTTGTGTGCATGTAAGAATCATATAGAGATAACTAGTGGAAATAAGAGTAGTCTGTGTCATCATTAAACCACCTGATGCATACCACAGTATTGCCTCCCTTTTGCCTTGATTTAATGAAAGGCTGACATAACTAGGTTTGATTTTAGTATAAGAAAAATAATCTCCTGAAGTCACAAAAGGGAGGTTAAACATAAGAGACAACTATCTAAATGGTTTATCCTCACGGGTCTAATAATTCTAACTCATCCTTAAAACATTGCTAACCTGATTATCATAGCTGATGTAAGCACAGTAACGGTGTTGTGTTTTTGCAGAGAAGCAAAATGTTATCAACAAGTGTCATTTGAGGTCCTTTTCCCGAAAACACCAGAGTATTTATGAGGTTATAGGCTGCCTGGCGGGCGGAGATATTTTATCACAGAATTAAGGGTGGAGCAATGTGGGGAAGAAATTGATAGGTTTTCCAAACATTGCTTTGCCTTCTGGTGTCAGATGATAATTGTTTTGCAAAATGTTGCAGGGTGAGAGAGAGCGAGACTTGCTTACTCTTTCTCAGCATTAAACTGGAGGGAAAGAATTACAGTGGGAGCTGAAGAGTGGCCTGATATGTGTGGGTGATGAATAGAAGAACATTTTACCCCAACTCTTCTGAAGCACAGTAAAGAGGAGGAGAAATGAACCAGTTTACAAGAGTAGGTCTACGTTAGCTGAAAATATGCAGTCCTTGAGTTTATATGGAGTTCTAGACAGACACATGTAGGTCCTGCTGCTGAGTGGGCAGGTGTATTACACCTTGCTGGGAGCAAATGATGGCTTATTTGTCAGCCATTTACAAATCCTAAGATGGAGAGGTAGCACGGGAGAACAAAGGTCAATGCAGCCTCAGGTTCACATGCTTTTGAGATGATTAAGACATGCAAAATTAGGCTGGGCAAGATGGCTTATGCCTATCTATGATCGTAGCACTTCGGGAGGGCAATCTTTGGGAGGCTTAAGCTAGAGGATTGCTTAGGCTAAGGTGGGAGGATCGCTTTAGCTCCTGGGCAACACAGTGAAACCTCATCTCTATTAAAAAAAAAAAAAAAGAGGTCAGGCACAATAGCTCACACCTGTAATCCCAGCACTTTGGGAGGCAAGGTGGATGGATCAGTTGAAGTCAGGAGTTCGAGACCAGCCTGGCCAACATGATGAAATTCCATCTCTACTAAAAAATACAAACAAACAAACAAAAATTAGCCAGGCATGGTGTTGCATGCCTGTAATCCTAGCTACTTAGGAGGCTGAGGTGGGAGAATTGCGTTGAACCCTAGGAGGCAGAGGTTGTAGTAAGCCAAGACTGTACCACTGCACACTGCAGTCTGGGAGACAGAGGAAGACTCTGTCTTAAAAAAAAAGAAAAAAGAAAAAGGAAAAGAAATGCAAAATTAGAAAATAAAACTTCTCATGAGCTCTCAAGTTCCTGGCTTGTCAAGAACAAAACAATAGCAAAATTATATTAAATGTTTCTTAGATGAGGTGTTTTATGATGATCAATATCACAGTTCATGGTTTCTTTAAAAACATGTACAGATCTTTTGCAATGGAAATCCAGCTATGTACAAGATTCCACTGAAAGTTAAGTAAGTTGCACATATGAGACCATGTAAAGAAATTGCCTGTTAATGACCCCAGAGCCAGAGTGTGTGGAGGGGCTAAGGAAAGAGCCTGTAACAGTCCTTCCAGAAACTTCTGATTTTCTCCATGAAAATTACCTGTTGTATATAGATTTCTTAGCCATTTTATAGCTCAGTCAGGGAGGAAACTAAATATTATGGACTATTTCCTCTAACAAAACTAGCAAAACCTATTATCACGTTTTTTTCAGTTTTGGTAGTGGCAGTAATTTGAGGTGGTGAGGGGGAGAGGTTGAATTTTGATACTAAAAAAAGCTCTATGGAATAAAATGATCTGCCCTGTCTCTACATAGGCACCAGAGAAAATGGGAACACATCTCCTTTTGCAGAAACTGAAATAACATTTGTATTATAGAGCCCTATAGGTATATAAAATACTTTATGATCATTGTGTATCTAGAATTATTTTATCTCAATGTTTACAGATTGAGAATCAAAAGTATTAATCACTTCCATTAATTGAGCACCTAGTATGTGCCTATATCTCAGCATATGATATATATGAGGAAAGAATGAGAGGCCTACGCATGGTAAGGTACTTGTTCAAGATGACACAAGCAGTAAATGGCAGAGCTAAGGTTCAAGACCATACTCCCCTGGCCCTTACAAATTTAGGAATAAGTTCTGGCTTTTCTGATTCCCAGACTAGGTCTAAATTTAATCTTAACTGTCGTATATTGAATTTTTTTTTTTTTTTTTTTTGAGACTGAGCTCGCGTTTGTTGGCCCCAGGCTAGAGTGCAGTGGTGTGATCTTAGCTCACTGCAGCCACCATTCCCAGGCTCAAGCGATTCTCCT